GGAGAGAGAAAGCCTGTGACGCTGGGGAAAAGGGTAGCTGTGCTAAGCATGAGATTGGCATTTAGTAGCCTTGGCCCTATACCCAGCTCTGTTAGATGTCCTTGGGAAAGTCACTTACTCTACTTGTGCCTTGGTTTCCCTATGGGTACAATGGGGTCAGTGCTACTGATCTCCTTCATGCAGCGCTTTGTCCTCTACAGATGGACATTGTGGTATAAGGCCTGTGTGTTGTTATTCCCAGGCTTGGGCAATGTGTCTTGCCCATTTCTCCTTCCTTCAGCCTTGCAGAGCTCTTGCAGACTCCGGTGAATGCAGGGGATACCCTTCAGCCTTGTGCATCTTCAGCAAAATGGGTCACTCCGTGCTGATGCCAGGATGGTTGGTGACAGCTTAGATTTGTCTTCCATCAGGCATGCACCACAATGTGGCATCTGACCTGTGCGCACCTCCAAGCCCCCCAAGGAGGTGGATGGACTCAGGGACTGGTCTCCAGTCATAGTGCATTATATAAACCCTGTGCAGGGGGGAGGAGGTCTATTACCAGGGGAAACTGCTGGAAGCTGAATAGCAAACCAGGAGAGACAGCCCAGGTGATTACTTCTTTCCCAAGGTCAGCACATACGACAAGCCCATTTTTATAAAAGGCAAATTAAAACCCAGGAGGCCAGGAGTGAAAAAGCACTTGTCAAAGAAAGGCAGCTGCCTCGGGGTGACTTGCAGGCACAGTTTGCCCTGTGGCTCCCTGTGATGTTACAGCTCCTCCGTCATTGCCTCCTGTGTTCAGAGAGATGCTATTCGTCTATCTTTAATAACAGTGACGCAGGCTGGAAGCGCGTCTTCCCCCCCACCCTGCATATCTGCCTCCGTCATCTTTCCCTCCAAGGACTCTTCGTGGCTTCATAAGGAAGAAAGGGGAAAAGTAGTTAAATAAAAGAGATCAGACAGGAACACCCCAGAGCTAGAGAGTTATCTTTGGGGAGGGATTACCAGCAATGTAGCTCAGATGACTCAGAGAAATTGCAGGGGCTAGTTGCTGACAGGTTTGAATCTAGGTTTGTGTAGGGGAAAGGGTTTGGGAATTAGTCACTGGAGGGGAGGAGCTGGAAGACAAGATGAGAAACTGGTGCTTCTCTGCAGTGCCAACTCCTAGCCATTTCCCAGGCAGGATTCAGCAAGTTGCTAGAGGTCTCTTGGGAGACATCCTGGGGTCATCAGAAGTATTGCTGGATAACTGACTCACGATGTTTGTGCCTGAAAGCTTACAATGAATAATTTTTTTTCCAACAATTTGAGTTGGTCTAATAAAAGATATCAGATTTACCCAAAGAGCATTGTCCGCCTCCGTCCTTAGACCAACGTGGCTACAACTTATACCCAGCGCTAAGAAGACAGAGGGTCCTTAACCCAGGTGTTTTGTCTCTGGGAGCCCCAAGAGGTCACCGGGAAACTTGGAAATCACCACATCTATCAACAGCATCACTATGCTGGCAGCACTGCTGTACCGGGCATGCGAACAGCAGCTGGCAAGAACTTGAGTGTTGTTTGAATCAGTTACTGCTGGGCCTGGGCGCACACCCAACCTATACCAAGTGGCACCTCTCCCAGTCTGCTGTTGTCCTAAGGAATCTCAGCTTTCAGTTAAGCAAAGCCAGCTAAGCCTCTTGCTAATAGTGTTGCACAGAACATGGACAGAGTGTCAAGGAGGCAGAGATGAGCCTCTGTAGAGAACCAGGAACTGTTGTTGGAGAGGCAAGAAAGGCCCCATTCATTCCAGAGAGGTGTGGTGCGAATGACCCCATTCATCCCACAGAGGTGCAAACTCAGCCGAGCAGCAAAGATAGCTTTCAAGCCAAGGCTGTTAAACTGCTTCATTCCTCAGGTGAGACAAGCAGCAGCAGATCTTGGGCACAGATCAGCACCCTCTACTCACCTGGACCTCTCGGTTTGGTGCCAGAGACAAATGGGATTTGGCAGGTACCAGCAAGTCTTGGCAGTCGAGGATGATCACCTTCCAGGGTTATCTTATCCGTGCATCCGAAGATGGCTGATGGGATTGACAGGCTCTGTTGCAACTCGGACACCTGTTTCCATGCAGGGTGGGTGGCTCCAGATTCTTGATTCAGTCCACGACACTGTTTCTGCCAAAACCAGCAAGTCCCTTTGGCAGGTACCTTCCTCCATTCAAAACCCCTGGGCATATTCAGGCCCTGCAGAGGAGAATGGGGGCTCCAGCAGGCCAATACATCTCACACTGCTGCATGGAGATGGGCTGAGCGCATGTACCACCCGCTGTGATTCTTTCTGCAGGTCATTTTGACGATGAAGTACCCCCTCCCATGGAAAGGGTGAGCATCAGCTGAAGGCACAAAACCTTCTTACCATACCTTGAGTTCTGGACAGGATCCCAATGGAGCCTGGGCTTCTGCAGCAAAAAACAGGCTCTGCCCTCTGTCCATACTGCAGCACAGAGCTCAGCACAGGTTAACTCCCTGAGTATTCATTCAGCCCTTGGCTGAGGTTTTTTTGCAGCTTGCACTGAATTTGGTGCTGCCATGGCTACATTACTACCAGTTCCCAAGCTAGCTAACTGAAACTTAGCGTGGATAGATCTGTGCTACACTGCAGTGACAGCAGTGCTTGCAGGGTAGACATGCCCTGAGTCTAAGAGAACAGATGGGAATGACAAACAGGCTGGCCCCCACAAAGGAATAACGAGATAAAAGCCGTGTTCTCTGCAGAACAGCTGCCTCCCTGTCATGTCCATCTGCCCTTGAGTTTCTAACACAGGGTTTCCTTGCAGTCCCACAGATCTCTAGCTAGTTTAACAGGAGTGTAGTTAAACATGAGCAGACCAACAACCACTGGAAAGTCCAGTGTAGACAGGACACACTGCCTTTCACGTGCATGAAGCCGGGTGAGTGACAACTTGGCTTGCATGTATTGAAGCAATCGCTGCTTTGCCTCCGCTAGGCATTTCAAACATATTAGCTAACACATTAACCACTGTGTTCTGCCATCACACCTTCGCATCCTAATCCAGACCAGGCACACAGACAAAAGGGCTCTGACTGCCATGCTTGGAAACATGTCACCACCAAGGTAACTAGGCAGAGAAAGGGGCAAGGTGGGCTCCAGTGCTTGGCTTCATTGTTTGAAAGCAAAGTGGGAATTCTTTATCAGCAGATAAAGCTCCACTGCCAAACCCATCTGGGATACATAGGAGGGGACAGGAAATGGGAAGAACATCCTTGAGGGGAGCCCACCAAGAAGTCTTTTGAAAACCTTGTGTTTGATGTGCTGCAGAAGCCCTGGAGGATTCGCTCCTCAAGCTGCTCTATTTTATTTCCACAGGAACAAAAGCCAGTGAAGAGACATCAGATGGACCAAATTCTCCCTAGTGGCACTGATTTACACCCAGCACAATTCCAATGCCTTCAATTCAATTCTTCCAGATTTACACTCACAATGTTTTAAAAAGAAAATATCCCCCTGGTGTCCATTGCCCAGACAGTTATTCCAAAAAGAAATCTCTCAGAAACATTGATTTTCATATATTCTTGCAAAATAATTAGCAACTTAGCAAGTTTGTGGCCCTTTGTTAGTTGCTAGTAGTATAGGACCAATACATCCAGCTGCACAGATCCATCCAGCTGAAAGCAGCTGTAATACACACTTCTCCCACGCTTCCTTATGAATGTCATTCGGCAAGGTGCTCTGTCCTGAGACCCCCATACAGAACATACAGGACATGTGCACTTCACTTTAAGCACAGATTGAATTTAATTAGAGAATGTTAAGAGTCATGAACCAAAAAATGACACAGCCATAAGGGAAAGACAGAGTGTCTGAGTGAGGGACTAACATATGGGGGTGAGGAGGAGAATGCAACTAGGTTAAAGAAACTAAACCCTTTCCTGGATCAGACAGCGTAGCATCTTTTGTGCAAAGATCGCCACCCATCACATAGCCAACTGGGCTTATTGTCTCCTTGCACTCCCGTCTGTCTGTATTCCTCTATAACCTCTTGTTTTATATTTAGCTGGTGAGCTCTCCTTGTCCCAAGTTTGTGTAGTGTCTGGCATGGTCATGGCCTGTGTTTAGGGTGTCATGCTGGTGCTAAGATGCCAACCTTACTAGGTCAGAAGGGAATATTGCAATCGTTTTGCCTGACTTCCGGGACAGCACAGGCCAGAGAACCTCACCCAGAGATTCTGGCCAAGTTAAAGCAGATTTTTTTTTAGAAAAAGACCCCTCCCCAGCATGATTTACAACCTTCAAGTGATGGAAAACCCACTACACCCCTTGGGTAGATGCCCCAGTAGATAATTTCCTTACTATTTAAATGTGTGTTCCTTATTTTCCGTTTCCAGCTCTTGGAGCTTGATTTGCCTTTGCCTGTTAGATGAAAAAATCCCACTCTTAAGAGATACCTTCTTCCCCTGGAGATACTTAAAGGTTGTGATCAAATCACCTCTGAAATCATCTCTGGTAACTTCTTTCATCATTGCTACCAAGTGCATTTTCCAAACCTTGGACTATTCTTGCAGCTCTTTTTCCAAACCCTTTTCCAGTTTGTCAGCATCCTTTATATGTGGGCACCCAGACTGGACACAGGATTGAAGTAATGGTTTCAATCGTGCTGCATACAGTCATCCAAACCCCTCTCTCCTCCCATTCCATGTTCTCCTCATTAATACTGGTGTTCAGAGCCCTCTCCAGGACGTAAGCATTCACAGAGATGGTTTTCATCAGTAAAGAAGGAACATCTTTCTATCCTGCAGTCCCAGGGGCATTTCCCATGCTCTGCAGCAGGGACTTCCCCTCTTACCTCCTATCACCTGAGCTCTTTTTAAATCAAATTTTGATTACTGTGGGGTGAATTCATGTTTGGCTTCTTGCAAGGCCTGTGACAATTAAATAGACAGAGCAGCCTCTCCAGAGAAGGGAGTTGTATCGAAAGTAGAAAGAAGTCAACCACAAGCCACAGAACAGTTTTTCCAAGCATTTGATCATTAAGCAAGACAGTCAGCTCAACGGCTCTGTGAAGGGGGTGTGGGGGGTGATACCCCGGGTGTGCAGAGCTTCCTGTAGTGGTATTTTCAGGATGCATGACTCTTGCCTTTCTTCCTGAATACCAGACAAAAATCGTTACTAATAAAGGTGACCTTTGTGGATCTCTTTCTCCAATCGCTTTCTATCTACCATTAATTTTCCTCCTTCAGGAAACAATTAAAAGTTTTTTAAGCCACTTGCCTTTCTGCAGGTTTGAGAGCCAGTGCTGCAAGCATTGCTTATTCTTGTGAGTGAGGGAAGTGGCAAGTAGGAAACAATCAGCTTTGGTTTCAGACAGGGCTTTTGCTGCTTCTGCATGTGCCCATGAGATCATCAGCAAAACTTTGGTTCTTCTTATTCCCAAACACAGGCTGCTTGCTCTTGAAAAAAACAGTAGCTATGCTTATAACAATGTCCCAATTTATAAGCCATCCCACACATTTGGATTGTCCCTCTGCATAATTATGAGCGTGAAGCTGCCTGTGATGAGTATATGAGAGAGAGAGAGAGATGTGAAGAGTGCTTTCTACAGAGAAGGTAATCCCCAAAAGAGCTTTGTCATACTAGATTATACTGGCATATGGCAGTAGGGAATTTCCAGACCTTTGGTTTGTTTTAAATGCCAGCACCTGAAAGCTGTCAACAAGCCCACTGGTGGGGAAAGAGAGAGAGCCATTATCTGTGTTGAAATGCAGGACCTGGGTGACATTGCTGAGGGACTGAAGGGGGAAAAGATGATGTTTTTGCTTCAGTTCAGTGGTTCTGTCCTAAACCAAATGAAGGGAGAGAAGTGTAAGCCATGAGGTGTCAAAGCAGCAGCTGGTACAAATGGAATAAAGGGAATATCTATCTGAAAAGCTGGAAAATACTGGAGTTAATTTAACTGAGCATAAAACAGCAGCAAATGTGTGATTCTAGAGGGATCCTTCACATGCTGAATATTTGGGATCTGCAGAACACATATAAAACCATTGGGATGTTTAAGAGTTTACTCTGCGTAATCTTTTAAACTTAGATTAGGGTGGAGATACCTGAACAAACTTCCCTCTGAATTTCTAGCACTGAAAACGTAGCTTTTAAATATTTTTAAAGGAATTTAAGTCTGGTGGGAAGTGCCATCCCGGAGCCAAGGTTGTCAGGTGTCCAGGAGCTGTCAGGCTGCTTTGGAGGCAGCTCCCGCTTTAAGCACCAGAGAACAAAAGTAGCTGACAGATCTGAATAGGTTTGCTTGCTTTCCTTGGCACAGATCAATTAAGTTATGATGAATAAGAGGGAGGAAGTAAACTGCCTGAAACGGTGGGGAACAAGAACTGGAGGAAGAAGTAGACCTGAATGAGGAACCCCAGGCATGGGCAGGACTCTCATGGGAAAAGTAGTACATAGACAAGTAAAATGCTATTTCATACACATGGGAGAGCCCAGTTACAGGTGCAGAAACCAAATTAATTCTAGCATGTCTTAACTTTGGAATCCAATTATGTTAGGGTGAATAGGGGCCAATCATGAGTTTGACAACGTGCCAATGAGATTTTAAAGCTAGAATCTAAGAGACTGGATTTGCCAGTTGAGTAAGATTATAGTCAATATTGGAATTAGATTAAATTAAAACATCCTTTTTAATTAATCTAAGTGAGTATTCACTTCGTGCTAGGTTTTTTTTTTCAGGTCAGCTCTCACTCTGGGAAGTATTTCTTAGGTAAGGCACTTGGTTATTCTTAACCAAGCAACAGATTATATAATTGCCAAGAGCTGTGTAAGTATATAGCCAGCTGCTCACTGATCAGGTGCAGACTAAACAAGTATTCTAGACATGGACAGGACACAGACTACAGGTACATAATTACCTGTATGCAATTAACACAGACCAGTGCTGTGCCGTGACATCTGTAGCAGGGAATAATATATACCTATATGTGCTTCTGGTTGGTAGCTGATGTCTTATGGGCTTCCTTTTAATTGCCAGAAGTAAGATTTTTAGAAAGGTGACAGGTCAGTGGATCAAGGAACATTTGGAAATGTTTTCGTTCTCCCTGATTTTGATTTGCCAGTCAGCCACACTGGCTGTTTATACATTAGAAGCAATTAACTGAAGTCCTGGACAGATCTATCCCTATTAAAATGTAATGGAATAACATTTGATGAGAGGCTTGCCTTAGAGAAATCATTCAAAAAGGGAAGAGAAGATTAAAAGGTTTTTGCATTATTTTTTTCCTTTGACCCAGGTGTGGGTATTTATTTATAAGAGTTTGGTTTCCAGATGAGAATCTCAAATAAGTGTATGGGTATTTATTATTTAAATCAGACCCAGTATAAGGCTTTAAGGATCACAATTCCCCATCTCTCTCTTAGCAAAAGGTGAAAAATTGGCCCAGAATAATTCAACAAAAGGCAATGAGGACAGGGCGAGCTGCCTTTCACAGCACCTCCCCAGCACAAATGGGAAAAGATTTTATTGTGGAAGATTTTCCTAGACCCTATACTGCTCTGAGAATGTGTTCCTTTCATGCTCAAAATTTGCATGTGCCATCTGGCAAATATATACTTGCTATCTAGATTCTCCTTCACTGGAAGTTTTCAAAGAGGTCAGATACGCACTAGAAAGGAAAGATTTAGGAGTAGCACTCCTGCATTTGCACTGGGCCTTAAACCAGGTGACCCACATGCTCCCTTCCAACTCTATGCCTATACGGTTAAAACTTCATAGTTTCATAGTTAGTTTATAGTTTCATAGTTAGTAGGGTCAGAAGGGACCTGAGCAGATCATCAAGTCCAACCCTCTGCCCCAGTAAGGTGTTCATCTAGCCTCCTCTTAAAGCCCCCCAGGGTAGGAGCCAGCACCACTTCTCTTAGAAGCTGGTCAGATCCTAGCCGCCCTGACAATGAAGTAGCGCCTTCTGATGTCTAGTCTGAATCTCCCCTCTGCCAGCTTGTGACCATTATTTCTAGTCACTGGCCTGACCAGTGCCACATAGAGGGGGAGGATCACCTCCTTGGACCTGCTCGAGATGCATCTGTGGATGCATGACAAGGTGCAGTTGGCCCTCCTTACCACATCCCCACACTGCCGGCCCATGTTCATCTTGGCATCAATGATGACTCCAAGATCCTTTTCTGCCTCTGCACTGATGACAAGGGAGTTCCCCAGCCTGTAGGTATGGTGCTGGCTCTTCCTCCCCAGATGCAGCGCCTTGCACTTGTCGGTGTTGAATCCCATCCTGTTCTCATCCGCCCACTGCTGTAACCTGTCTAGGTCCGATTGCAGCCTATTCCTCCCTTCTAGCATGCCCACATCCCTCCACATCTTAGTGTTGTCAGTAAATTTGAACAGGTGCTTTCTACCCCCTCCTCCAAGTCACCGATGAAGATGTTGAACAGGAACAGTGCGGGCCTGAGGACCAAGCCCAGGGGGACCCCACTGCCCACATCCTTCCAGGCTGAAAATGACCCGTCCACCACCACTCTCTGGGTGCGGCCCTCCAGCCAGTTGGCGACACATCTGACTGTGTGGGTGTCGACATCACAGCCCCCAGTTTCTTAATGAGAACGGGGTGAGAGACAGTGTCGAATCCTTCTGAAAGTCCAGGAAGACGATGTCCACTGCTGCCCCTGCGTCTAAGGATTTGGTGACCTGGTCGTAGAAGGCCACCAGGTTGGTCTGACAGGACCTGCCTTGAATGAACCCATGTTTGTTGCCCCTAAGCATGATCTCCCCCCGGCCCCTCGTGGACATGTGCTAGAATAATTCTCTCAAAAAGCTTACCCAGGACCGAGGTAAGACTAACTGGCCTATAGTTCCCTGGGTCCTCCTTCCTCCCTTTTTGAAGATGGGAACCACGTTGGCCCTCTTCCAGTCCTCTGGCACCACACCAGAGCACCACAAGTGCTTGTACAGCCGTGCCAGGGGTCCCGCAATGACCTCAGCTAATTCCCTCAGCACTCGGGGGTGGAGATCGTCTGGACCAGCTGATTTAAGTACGTGCAGTCCCTCCAGACGTTCCCTGACTAGATCCTCACCCACCCTAGGCCTGGGTGTGCCTCCCCTGGGACCTATGGAGGTCCCAGTGTGGGGGGGTGACCCAGTCCCTGCTCAGGAAAATGGAGGCAAAGAAATTGTTAAATAGGTTAGCTTTGCTGTCTGGTGTGACGACCAAATTTCCTAGCGTGTCTTGCAGGGGCCCCAAGTTACCCGGTACCTTCTTTTTACCCCCTATTTAAAAAAGGACTTCTTGTTGTCTTTGATCTGGGCAGCTTGTCCCGGCCCCATCCTCGCCTTGTCCTTCCTGACTGCTCCCTGCAGCCCTGAGCAACTGCAGTATAGTCCCCCCTGGGGATGACCCCCCCTGCCATTGGGTATGCACTTCCCTTTTAGCTAGGAGACATTCCCAGATGCTTTTGGTGAGCCATGGGGGCTTTTGCACCCTCCTGTTCCCTTTGATCCGCGTTGGGATTACCTCCCTTTGGGCTTGGAGGATCGTCTCCTTAAGGAGCGACCACTCTCCTTGGACAGCTGGCTCCCCTCCCCTCCAGGACCTCAGTGCTTCCCCGACTATTCTCCTTAGCTCATTGAAGTTTGCCCTCCTGAAGTCCAGGGCTGCTGCCTTGCTGCAGGCCTTTGCCACCCTGTGCTGGATGGTGAATCCCAGCAGGCAATGATCGCTGTCGCCCAGGTGGTCGAGCACCTGCAGCCCCCTCACCAGGTTGTCACCCGTGTCCAGCACCAGGTCCAACAAGGCGTCTCCCCCGGTGGGGCTGTGCACTCCTGGGTTCGATGGAGGTCCTGCATTTGGGCTAGGAACCTACGTGAGCGGTCAGACCTGGCTGACTGCTCTTCCCAGCAGATGCCTGGAAAGTTCAGGTCACCCATGATGACCACGTCCTTGGACCTAACTGCCTCTGTGAGCTGACTGAAGAATTCCTGATCTAGCTCTTCCCCGTGGTTGGGAGGTCTGTAGTCGACCCCACCGTTAAGTCCCTTTCCCCGCAACTGCCTTGTATTTTAACCCAGAGCACTTACATGTGTCCCTCCTCTGACTCTGTGCTACCTGGTGAGGATTTGTATTCCTCCTTAATGTAGAGCGCCATGCCCCTGCCTTTCCTCCCTGTCCTGTTCCTCCTGTACAGCCTATAGCCCTTGATATTCACCGCCCAGTCATGCGTTGGGTCCCACCATGTTTCAGTGAGTCCCACTATGCCTGGATTGGTGTCAGCTAGCAGGAGGGTAAGTTCTTCCTGCTTGTTTTCCATCCTATGAGTGTTTGTGTAGGGGCATTTGAGGCCTCCTGTGGATGTGTGCACTGGCCCCCTAATCACAGCATTGCCCTGGCCCCTGTTGCTTACCTGTGTATATGTACCGTTCGTCAGTCTAGGCTGGGCTGTACTTGTGGGCGCTGCTTGGTTTAGCGGCCCAAGACTTCCTCCTCCCTCGTCTATCCCTTGCCCTGACGAGCCTAGTTTAAAGTTTAAACTTCTTCTATCAGGTATGTCACTGATCCCAGAATGCTGGAATTATTACATCTTCTTCAGGGAGTTAATCATATTTACCCTTCGGGTCTCTTTTTCTCTGCTTTCCATCATTAGAAATGCTCACGTTTGAGCACTAGGTGTCAGCCTCATTTCATACTAATGGACATCTGCGCTTTTCTCTGATCATGGAGCCACACTGACAACTTGCCAGGAGCCCACAGGTCATCCAGAATCCTGACAAAGTTGCATTGCGTGGATGACGCTGCAGGTTTCATGTGGAGGAGCAGCTCCGGCAGGCAGGGCATGGAAACCATGGCAGGATCCAACACGCTGTCCTGCGTGACTCTGCCTCCCCCTTCTCTACTGCTCTGTGGGGTTGTAGCAGCTTGCCCCCTTCTTGTAACTATGTGAGCCCTGCAATTCTGGGGGTCCTGCTACAGATTCAAATCAAAGTTGGATGGAAACCAGCTGTAGAGTTGTCACACCTTTTCAAGCACTAACTTTATAACTGGTTGGCTCGTTATAGCTGGGTAATAATTTTTATCCCACGATAATGACTTTGCACATGGGGCTAGTCAAAATTTACTGTGTGTTTAACCAGTTCATTATATAAAGTTTAACTAGTTAATTGCGTGATATATGTAATGAGTACCAGGGGCCTGGGAGCCGGATAATACAGCTCAATCTCTCCTGATGGCAGGGGGGATCTGGTGGTGTGCACTGGTGCACATGCACCTCACTTTGGGCCCTGCTACAAGTTCAAATTCAAGCTGGATAGCAACCAGTTATATAGAAAGTTGTTACACCTTTTCAAGCACCAATTTTATAGCTGGTTGGCTCTCTTTATAGCAGGATGATCATTTTTGTGATGTGATGATTACTTCGCACAGGTGGCTAGTCTAAAATGATTGTGCAATTCACCAGTTAATTGTGTGATAATTACTGTTTATGTGCAACTGGTCTTACTTTGCACAGGTTGCCAGTCTAAATTTATTGCATGATTCGCCAGTTAATTGTGTGATAATTACTTTGTACATATGAACATTTGAGTCCCGTTTCTCTTTTTGGGGTTTTTTGTTGTTCTCCCGCCCTGGCGGGGGGTCGGGCTAGAAGATCTACTAGGTCCCTTCCGACCCTTAATCTATGAATCTATGAAAACAGTCTTACTTCGCATGGATGGTCAGTCCATATTGTGCAATTCACCAGTTATTACATTGCACATGTGAACAGTTTTACTTTGCACAGGTGGCTAGTCTAAATTCCTTGCATGATTCACCAGTTAATTATGTGACAATTACTTTGTATGTGTGACCAGGTTTACTTTGCATGGGTGGTCAGTCTAAATTTATTGCACGATTCGTCAGTTAATTGTGTGATCATTACTTTGTACATATGAACGGTCTTACTTTGCACAGGTGGCTGGTCTATATTGTGTGATTCACCAGTTAATTGTATGATGATTGCTTTGTACATGTGACTGGTCTTACTTTGCACAGGTGGCTGGTCTAAATTCATTGCACGATTCACCAGTTAACATGTGATGATTACCTCATACGTGTGAATGGTCTTACTTTGCACGGCCAGCCGGTCTAAACGTCTTGCGCGATTCGCCTGTTTCAGTCTATTCTAGATGTAGCCTTAGATGCCTGCTGCTCCCAAAGTTTGAAACCACCCGGCACCGTTTCCAGTCAGCTCGTCATCATCTCCCACATCCCTTCCGCACTCTTCATTCCCCAGGTGTTAACGACTCTCTCTTCCTTTTAACGGGCTTGACGTCCCTTGTAACGGAATTGACATCCCCCCACATCGAGCTCCCCTTTATTTCTGCTGCGTTGGCTGTTCCTGGTCACCGAACTCCTATTTCACAGTCCCGCATGTGGCTTCTCACTTGTGCCAATGAGATTATATCTGTTTTTGCCTCCAGCTTAGACTGAATCCGTGCTGCCCTAGGCCCCCACAGTGTCAGGAAAACTTCTGGTGTATTTTGAATTGGAGAAAAATGTGTGTGGAGGATCCCGGCTCGGCTGGCACGGGGCTGAGGGAGCAGTGGGCACTACGGCGCACTGCCTCGTGGCTGTGAGAGGCCAGGGTTGCAGGCCATGCCATGGGAGGGGCCTCTGTGACCTGCCTCTGGCCCCTGAGGCAGGGCAGCGCGGTGCATGCTAGGACCTGCCCCCCCCCGCAGCTGCCTGCCTAGCTGACAGCCTCACACCCCCTCCTCTTGTCAACATTTCCTAATTGGCTCGCTGTCCTATCCATCAGCACAAGCCTGCCTTCTGATAGGCTAGCTTCTTATTTATATCCCGCCCCTTGCAGCTGGCCAATGGAGTCGAGGCGCCCCTAGTAACCTCCTCCCTCTTTTCCCAGCCCCACTGTTGCTATGGAGCGGAGGGGGGGTGCCTGAGTGCGGTTGGCTCAGCCAGCCGTCCATTGAGAGTCCCGACAGCCAACCTAGAGGCGCCGCTGACTCAGAGAGGCTTGAAAGTGGCGCCGCGTGCATCGCCCTTTGGCATAGGCTGGTTTGACGCGCCCATCACCCCTCCCTCGGTGCCCATTGGCTAAGAGGGCGGGGTGCGGGCGGGGGTGGGGCTGCGTCTTGGCTGGGCTGAAGGAGCCGAGCCCCGGGACCCCGCGCTGCTCTGAGCCCCGGGTCTGGCGAGGCGCCGCCATGACAGCCCGCCGCGCCTGTCGCAGGT